AAATCAAGAGCTAGTTATAAGGACTGAAGGACCAAGAGTCCTAGTCTAACTCAGCTCTAAAAAACTTCTGGGGACCTGATGATGAGGTTGAGCAAATCAAATCTAGAGTTCGGGGTTCCTTTGGGGGACACATCTCCCGCCATTATAAAATCAAGGCCCCAAGTACCAGTTAAGACATTTAATCTCATCATATTCACTCAATATTTTCTCTTTGACTTGTGATCTAACTTAAGTATCAGAGTCTCTTTGACTATCTCTGGCCATCGGTTCACCTAAGTGTTCTCTTGTCTTACAGATTCCACGAAACTTTTTTCACCACCCCATCCTTCCGTAAGACGTGATTAGTCTTTGTGTGAAATTATTCTCGCACAACATCCATTACCCCCTCCACCACCCCATTCTCTTTCACCTCAGCCACAAGCCAACCAAATTAGCTACCAGCATTTGTTACCCAACCATTACCCCTTCCTTTTCCATTGTCGTCTATAAGCCACCACCACCTATACTACCACACGCCTGCAACACACCACTGTCGCCTCCCACAAGACACTATAAAAATCGAACATGAAGTACCCATAGACATTTCACAGAGAAAAGCGTAGAATTTTAGATAGAGAGAAAGAAATAGAGGGTTAGAGAGAATTTCACAATCAAAGTCAAAACACCCAAACCAATTCATACCTAATTATTCTTCAATTCAGCTTTGGGTACATGAATCCGATTAATGAGACATTCTAGGTCAATGCAATGAATTGGAGCTTGATGGCAATGAGACCTAGAAAAATGAGGAGGTGCATTCAGCTCAAACCCCCCACCCTCAGCATCAAGGCAAGCCCAACACCTTTATTGCCATATGAGTGAGTGAGGGAGAGAGAGAGAGAGGGAGACAGAGATGTGTTGTTTTGTGTGAGGTCGAGGTCTAATTGAAGACTAGGCGGCTAGAGATAGAGAGACAAAAATAGGGGGCTTGTGTTGTTTTGTGTTGGGCTTCTGTGTGTCTCCGTTTGTGAGTTTGTGTTGTATTCGTGTACTGTGTGGCTGCAAGGACTCGAGAGACAAAGAGAGGTTTAGAAGGAGAGAAGCGCTAAGAGATGAATTTGGAGAGAGATATGAAAAGAGAGACGCATGTATCCCAAAAATTACGTTTGGATTGAAAATTCAATCATGGGTTCTCAACCCCGGTTTGTAGCTAACCCGAATATTAAACTCATAATCATAGGTTCCGTCAAACTTAGTAGGGGTGTGTTTGAGGAAATGAGTTAAAGGATTAAGGATGCAAAAAATAATTGTATCCCTAAACATTGGGTATGAATTTGACTGATCAATAACAAAATAGTCATTTAAATGATAAACAGTTATTAATAATTATGATATATTTGTAGGTCTTACATATGTATGTATTGCATACCAAACATGAGTATGGATCGGATTCAATGTTGAATATTATCTTTGTAAAAAGAGATTTGGGTTTGAAAAGGTTTGGGGAACCCAATTCAAACCCTCCCAAAAATCCATCCAAACAAGCCTGGAGAGATAAAGAATTGTGGGTTTGAGGTATACAACTGAGCATGGGGAGAAAGAGAGAGAAGTGCAAAGAATATGTGAGAGGGGACAAAAAAAGAAAAGGAAGAAGAAGATGCATGTTTGGATGTGAGTTTAATATAGCCCGATAGCAAATAATAATGTTTGGATGCATTACTTATTATAAAGTGCCAAAAATGACCCTTAAAATCTACACGTGACCGGCACATGGTATTTTTTGTTAATTTTTATAATGTTAGTTGGTGCTAAGAACTAGATTGACTCAATGTTTATACTTTGGGGATGAAATTGATGAAATTAAAACTTTAAGGACCAAAGTGTGACGAGTGACAAACCTGAGGGACTATTTGTGTAATTTATCCTATTTTTATTTACTTTCTCTTTCTTCGTTCTACATCTTTTTTTTTTCTTTCAACACTAGCTGTACTGGATAATCATCACATATAAGAATTATAGGCATTAGAAGCCACGGCATAAGCTCATTCTCTATATAATTTACATCATAAAGTCAAAAGCTATGTAAATCACTAGCTGGTTAAAATTTTATTAGAAGCAAGAAGGAAGAAAAAAAAAAGAAATCATAATACTTATCAAACCTATACATGCCTAGCTGTAGCACAAGTTGGAAATAGAAGATTAGGATGGACAAGGTATTTACATATGACAGAAAACATATAACTTTTTTTTTTTATCTAATTGATGTATACCTACGTTGCAGTGAATAATTTCAAATTATCTTTGTTTAGTAGCATAGAGTTCTCATCATTTATGCACAACATACAATGTGAACTTGTAGAGGGACAAGTGCATGTAATTTCAAATTATTCTTTTTCCTCTTCCCTTCCCACTCTAATGTGATCTGAGTGAAACATATAAACCCTTCCCACTCTATATTTCAATTACTATTGTTCACATGAAAGTTAATTTTGTAAGAGCAATACTACTTAAACCTAATTTATTAAGCAAATTGTTGACCAAATCATTAATTTATTAAGCAAATTGTTGACCAAATCATTAATTTATTAAGCAAATTGCGACTTACAGTCAATCCAATGATTGTAAAAAACTAAATCAATTAACTTTAACAGCAAATTAGATTCAACCACCTTTTTTTCTTTTTCTTTTTCTGTCATTTTTTTTTATTAATAAACAAACTGATTATTTATTGATAGGAAAATATGGCACTTAGAAGAAAGGGAAAAGCAGAAACACCCATAACAAAAAACACAGCCTCCTTACATCTTATCTTTCAACCATCTGAATTAGATTCAAGCATAAAAAACAACACAACACTTACTACTTTTTACAAGATAAAACAAAGCAGTACATCACACATTGCTAGCCCAGGATTTTCCACCATCTACGCTCAGAAAGACAGTTTATTATTATTAGTTAATGATACTGCGTCACCGCTTTAATATGTAAGGACTATGGTCTCCCTGATCAGGCTTCCAACCAAGTTTGAATTCTTGTTCAAACACCTTTCGATTAAACACGATTCTGGGTTCCACAGGCTGTTCTAGCTGAGTAACACACAGTACTGACCTTTTCACCGAAGAGAAATACTCTTTTATTGAATTCTCCGTCATCAAACGACTCGGAGTTGCTAGTACTCGCAACATGATCGCGATCTCTCCAAGGACTGGACCTCTGTCCAGACACACATACAATTCCGACGAGGGGAACCTAGTATTCGGTTTGAACGAGAATTGAGACTCCAACAAATCCAACAACTTGGCTCTGGCTGAACCAGAATGCAAATCATCAAACGACACAGAACCCAATTCCCCCAACACTGAAAGGAACGATTCAAGTTTCGCAAATCTCAACATGTTAACACAATTGAAATTTAATCTCGGATAGTATCCATAGTTTGTCGAACCATCATCGACTATGTTCATCAAAATCGAACCCTGATCAGAGTAATCCATGACCAAACAAGCAAGACTTTTTTTATCTAGGAACCCTAATTCAAAATCCTTACCAGTAACAGTAACAGCTCCTCTCCCAAACCTGTCACAGCCTCAAAGATCGCCTTCTTTGACGCTCGATTGATACCACTGAGCTTCTTGGTCTAAAAGAACCAGTCAATCGTCTTCCTAACTAGCTTCATTTCCTCCTTACCGGTTGATCGTCGACGAAATCGATGATTCGCTTGCCTCGGCGATCTAAGGTTCTGAGAAGCTCGCCGGTGGGTTCACAGACTTTTAGGGCTACTAATTGGACATTGAAGAAGCCATGGATATCGAAGAGTCCAAAAATCTACAGAAAAAAGTGGAAAATGGGTTGTCTACAACGGGAGCGAAAGGGGGGCTAAAAAGGAGAGAGGAGTGAAGGGTGAAGATGATGATTCTGACGATGAGGATCGAAGCAAAGAGAAGATAAAGAGTAAAGAAATCGGCAGACGAAGACTTGGAAAAAGGAAGTGTATTTTCACTTAGCCCTCCTATGGTTGTTTGATTAAGGTGCCCTGTTACATTTGCCATCCAATTTAACTCTCCGTATGAGTCACGTGTCTGTAAGAGAGTGTATCCTCCAATATTTGAATAAAGTCATAACCCGTAAATGAAGACACAATAAAATATAAAATTCAAGCGTCTAAAAAATCGATCTCACTATATTAAATTTTTTTAAAATATATTAACTATAATTAATTAAATATTAAATGATTGAATATGTGACAAAAATGAGTAGTGTAATATTTTTATGGAGGAAATATATAAATAATTAAATATGTGATAGAAATGAGTGATGTAATTTGATGTTTGAGACTGACAAAGAAATGATAGGTGAGGTAAGTGATTGGTGATAGTTTTGACGAGAAAAATATGACTGGAATAAAACTTAAATACACTCATGTTTTATTATATAGATTTAAATTGTTATCATATACTTATATTCTTAAATTTTCAAATTATCCCTAATATCTGTTTTAATTTTTTATTTATTATGCATAAATATCAGTATTTATGAAATTTTTTAATTGACTATATTATTTTTAAAACATATATGCATCACTATAATTTTTAATAAAAAGTTCAATTTTTTTATTTTAAATATCAATTTAATATTACTCATTTTAAATATAAAAATAACATTATTCTTGCATATATGTATTTCTTTTACCCAAAATTTTAACCACTTAATTTTTAAGATAAAAAATAATCTTTTACGTAGTTTTTTTAGAATAATTTATATTAAATCAACATAATTCTTCAATTAGAGTAAACTTTTCATATTTTATTAAGAGTTTATATATAAAAAAATTATATTATATTTTTAAGTAAAACTTGAATTTTATAATTTTAACATTCTTTTAAAATATATATTATAGAGTAATATATTATTTTTTAAGGTGAATAGTCATTTTAGTCTCTAAAATATGCATGTTTTGTTAGTTTGATCTTCATTGCATCAATTTTGTCAATTTGGTTCTTAAAGTACTTACTAATGTTTAAATGATTCATATATAGACAATTTGTTAAGTTTTTTTATAGAAGTGATCACATGATACTATTTTTATAGAAGTTATGTTTATCAAAAAACTTAATTGATCATCTGATTAGGGATTATTTAAACAAGAATTAAATATTTTAAGGACTAAATTAACAAAATTTATACATTGAGAATTAAACTGATAAAAAGCGCAAACTTTAGAGAACCAAAGTGTTATTAATCATATATTTTATCTCTATTAACCTAAATAATTATATTAAACATTAATTAAAATTTTAAAAATTATTTTTATTTTATTCAATGAATTATAAGTTGAAATATAATCAAATGAATTTCAAATAAATTGTTTTTATCTTTTTTTTTTCATACTTAAAACAGTAAATCATTGGAAATAAACAATATTTTTGAATTCTATAATATAATACGAGCAATAAAAATATAATTTTGATAAACTTGAAATGATATTTAATGTAAGTACACATATACCTAATACTTTTTATTAATAATTTGTATATGAAAATTATTCCCATGCAGCACACGTGGTGCATTACTAGCTCTGTAAAATATGTGCTAACTTTACAGCGTCACACACACACACATAGACACAGAGATGTGGTAAGTTTGTAAATTTGTTGGATCTTGACATGAAAGGTAAATTTGGTATTTTATAAAGAATTTGGTATGATATCATCTCTTTTCCGTTTGTCAATAACGTTTATTAACGGTGGGGAATTTGAATGAGACGAACGTATTAACTAAGAGGGAGTATAATGAAATTTTAGATAATACAGGGAATATTATTGAAGATGGCATATTCTACCGGGGATGATGATCCTATTTTAAAAGGTTGGAAAGACTTTGAAAAAGGAAGTCTACGGAGAGAAAGTGACAAATGACATGAAACATTTCTACTTTCCCAATTGAAAAGATTGGAAAGACTTGGAAAAAGGAAGTCTATGGAGAGAAAGTTTCACAATTTATATTTTAAAAAATTAAAATTTTAATATTGTATCCATAATTAAATAAAAATATAATATTTTATTTTATTTTTAAAAAATTAAGTACAAAACTTTTATTTAAAACACTTATACAAGTAATTAAGTATAAAACTCTGATAAAAATATTTGTTCAAATACAACAAATATTTGATTTGAAATCATAAAATGTGAGAATTTTTATTTTTTTTTATAATATAAACTGAGGATTATTTAGGACACAAAGTGTCATTCAGACGAAAAACAAAATATCAGAGAGAGAGAGAGAGAGAGAGGGGGGGGGGGGGGGGGGGCCATCTGCTAGCCCAACCCGTTTCTAAATTCATTCCAACATGACATATGACCCAAGTACAACACCTGTTCAGTCCAACCCAAGCAACGCTAAGTCGAAAAATAAAAGATGAGAAACAATTTATTAAAACATGTTGTTTAATTTCTAAATTAATTGAACATAAAATAACTAACACAAAACCTAAATGAGAGAGAATTTTGGAGAATGATATCAGTCTCTCTCTTCTTTTTTTTTTTTTTCTCATTTTGTTCCACACTTTGATTGGTCTGGCCCAAATTAGGCCCAATTCAAAAATATAGATCAAGCCCAACTCAAATATACAGGTCAAGGCACCAAGGATCAACTCTCACTATCTTGAGAGACTCAATTCATAACTGACACACGAAAAGATATCTATGGAATTGTCATGTCTATTACGAGAATAACGTCATATCTACAGAACTGTCCACCTGTTACGAGCATAGTGCCTCAATAGGTTAAGAGACGCCTATAATTGTAAGTCACACATACACAAGGGAAGCATCACACAAATCTCAATACTCACACCTGAGCATTCTATATTCCTTGAATAATAAAATACTCAAGCCATCGTAACCTTTCATAGTGTAGTAGGTCATCCTAACCCGACCACTTTATTTGTATTTGCCTGTGTTAAGTCTCCTGCTCAATGACTACTTTAAATACTTGATAGATAGTGTATAAATTCATTTTGTGCATTATCACACTTCATTCAACCTAAGGAGTGTCTTTTATAAAGCAAACAACCGGGTGGAAAGCCAATAATTTAGCTTTCCAATCACCCTATTAAATACAAATATTTATTTATTACTATTCATGCATAATAATACATCATATTCATTACTCCATCCGTTCCTAAATATCTGTCGTTTTATACAATTTTTTTTGTTCCATAATATCTATCATTTAATGAAACCAAAAGTATAATTAATATTTTTTCTTCCAAATTTATCCATAACTTTTTAATGCATTAGATTAGTTGGAGGCTAAGTGTCTTTTATATTCCTTTCCTTTCCAATACGTATTGAATAAGAGTATTTTAGTCTTGTGTAATTATTTTTTACTCATATTACAGCTATTTAATAACTTCCTTAATTCTTGTGCAAAAACCTTAAACGACAAATATTTAGAAATGAAGGGAGTATTATTCAGTATTATGCATAATTATTTGTGCACAATAGTCACCCACCTATATTTACAACACTCCGCCTTCACCTTATATTGAAATAACATTGGGGCTTGAAATTTAATTTTGATAAAATCATTGGTATCATAAGTTTTGTCTGGTTTAAAACCTTACTTAATAAAACTCAGTAAAAAAAAATTAACAAATGGAAAAAGGGTACATGTCTTGCCCTCTCGAATACATCCAGTCAAAATAATAATCGTCACACCCCATTTCGAAAGACTCTCCTTAATGTTTTAGAGATGGAAACATGACTCAACACACGACAATACGTCCCGTTAGCTTATATCATAATTTCATTATGATATGTTTAGATTGATACTAATTATGATGGAAAATGAAATATATTCATGTGCCACTCGTATTCAATTTTTATAACACAAACATGTCAAATTTACATTAGAAAATGATGTCATTGTAAAAATATCATCAAAGAGAGTTAGGGGTGGTCATCGGGATGCCTGGTACCATGCACGCAATCAAGCATAATGCCATGGGTGGGCTTTGTCAGTTGGCCCATAATATCAATATGGGCCAAATTTATTGGTCTTCATTTCTTGAACTAGTTTTCGTCAACAAATTGGAGCCCACCCTAAATAAAAAATAAAATATTAAAAATTATATCTAATTAACCGAAATGTCGTGAGTTTGAATTACAAAAATAAAATTTTAATATTAAGTACAATACAATTTAAGTCTCAAAAGATAAATAAAATGACTTTTACTTTTCGCGGTTGAGATCTTTTTAAATTTTACTTTAAAATTAATTCGATAATTAATATTAATACTAAAAATTAAATAGAGAAAATAAGTCTCTAAGGGTGTATGTATTTGGGTGACTTTTTAAAAGTATTTTTAGGAGTTATAACTTTTTATAAATACTTTAAAAAAAAATAAAAGTAGTGTTTGAAAACGCACCACCACCACTACTAGCAAGCTACCACCACTATCACCACTACCACCACTACCTTACCACCTCCACCACCACCCCCATTGCCCTACCCCCACCCCACCACCATCGCCGTAGTCGCCACTACCACCATTTCTGCCACCCCCACCACCATCACTGTCGTTGCCAATATCAACACTACCACCACCCTATCACCTCCATCACCACCATACCAGCGTTGCTACTACCTTACCACCACCGTTGTCATCACCCTACCACCACCCCCCATCGTCCCACCATCATAACCATTACCACCACCATTACCCTACTTCTATTGCCCCACCGTTACCCCCACCATTATCACCATCGTCTGCTACAATTGTTATCCGCTACCACTACCCACCACAATCGTTATCGTATTCTTATGATTATTACCACTATTAGCATCATCCAACTACCACTGTCGCCCACCGTCAGCACCCACCACCATCATTGTTATCTATCACCACTCACCGTCGCCCACCATCGCTGCCAACTACTATCACTCACCTCCATCGCACCTACCACCACCACTATTTGCCACGGCCCATCACGCTGTCATCCAAAAGCATCCATCGTTGTCCATTACCACCATTGTCACTGCCCAACAC